ACCCTTTAACAAACTAACAACACCAAATGGAAACAACTGGTGCTTATGTGTCATAGCCAAAATATCCACCTCATGTCTCCATTCTTCGTGTTAACTTGCCAAAAGAGCTGAGTGTCCTGTGAAACCAAGAATAACTGTGGTACTTATGGCCAAAAGGCAGCGATGGAAAGGAGAGGCCCTCCTTCCTAGCTGTGTGGCCTTGGACAGATCACTTAACCTTTCTGAACTTTAGTATCTCCAATCATAAATAATGCCAGCATTACCTACCAGAGTGGGGGAAAAAAACAAACAACAAAAACAACCAGAGGTAAAATATTTTATAAATTACAACGTAACACTAAAATGTAAGAGAATGCCCTTCCTAATTTATTTAAACAGGAGCTAACATTTTCTGAGAGCATCAGAAGAAATAAAGGCCAGTAGTAAGCTATGAGTTTCCACAACAACACTTTAGGAATCTGTTGATGGTGGCTCATATCCCCACACACAAACACTCCACCCCTACTTGAGCCGTATTCATATGCATAGAAGATGCTCTGAGAACTACAGCACTATGGAAGTATAAACAACCCATGATGCAAGTCACTGGCCACGTACCCACCTTCGTGTTGCCAAGATAGATTCTCCCGAAAAGATTACCTAAGTGCTGAGACATCTGTGGTTAATGGGGAGTGTGCGTTCTTTGCAGTCCCTGGCATGAAGTAAAGTAGAATTTGGATTTTTGTTTTTTATAAAATGAGACAAGTGGCTTGATTTTATTTTGGTTCATATTATTGCTGCCCTGTCTCCTCAGAGATAAACTTATTCAAAGGGATAAGCATGATCTTGTGGCAGGTCAGTCAGCATTTTCTATGACTCAGAGTCCATAGGGGGTAGGAGGGATGGGGTTATTAAGAAAACTGTCCTTAGGTTAGCAAGATGGCCCAGAGGTTAAGGACCCTTGTCACCAAGCCTGTTGACCCGAGTTTGATCCCTGGGACCTGCATGGTAAAAGGGGAGAATTGATTCCTACAAGTTGTTTTCTGATACAGGGGAGCTACCTCTCAACACAATAAACAAATAAAATTAAAAATAAGTTTGCCTTGAAATTAAACATTTTATTAAACTTTTTTATTATTTTATAAACTGTTTTGACTTGTTTCATTGCTGGAGATTGAACCCAAGTCCTCACACATACTAGGAAGTGCTCTGCCAAGAGCTACACTAGCATCTTGTATTCTTACTGTGATGGAAATACCTGTGTTAGTCAGAAGTTAATTTGTGTAGCAGCAACAACAACACATACCTTTCCAATCCGGTGGATTAACTCAGAGGTCTAGCTCTCATTCACACATCAACAGGAAGCTCTGGTCCATAGGGCTATTAAGAACCTCAGCTTGGGAGGTGTCCTGACATTGCCCCACAGCTGCCACATCTGGGAAGACAAGAACCTAAAGAACCCGTTCTGCTTTGCTTTGCCCAGAAATGACACTGTTGGTTCTCTCTCTGGCCCCTCGATGGGAAACACGATGAGCACAGAGACACTCAGGAAGTGTGTCTCTGCTACAATCCTCAGCCCCCAAAGGGCAAGAGGCACTGTATAACTCACACTCCTCATCCTCCATGCAGCAAGCTGCTCTGCCTTAGACTCCCGGCTCAGCCTCATGCTACTTGTGAGACTGGGCAAGTCATTCTGTCCTCCATTTCCACACCTGTCAAGTGGAGACACCAATGTCCACCCCTGGACAGGTGCGAGAGACACTTTATGATTGCCACCAGGAGGGCACAAAATATCTAAGGCAACAATTCTTCCCCAACTCTTCTGATGTGGCAGACTATCTCAGAGACTGTGGTGACATTTTCCAAAGATATCATGACCAAGATTATTGTAAATTACCTTTGCTTATAAATTCTCCATAAGTCATCCAAAATAGGACAAATACAGACACCATTCTTGGTATAATGGGAGGTACGGTTTCCATTTATTGTGTAACTTTTTTTTTTCTTCCTGTGACACTGTCTCCCACTCCAGCACCCAACCTTTAGATCAATCTGGGTATGAACTCCAGTTTAATCACTTTTTAGTTAGCAAGCACTCTGAGCCCAATGTCTTCATCTCTCTCTCTTTTTTTTTTTGTACTGGGATTGATTCAGTGTTCTTAACATCAGTCATGACTCTCACAGGGTTGTCTATAAGATTAAAAAAAATTCGGATCAAGTTCCCAGCACAGTGTAGCATAACCATCTATCCTGTACTACATACTAGTTAGCATTCCTGCATTTGGTGTGAGAGCTTTGCCACAGGACCTCATTGAGTTGGTGAAAGTGCAAGTCAACACCAGGCTAGGACTATCTGTCAGGAAATGGCTGTTGTTAGCATGAGAGGACTCATCTACTCCTAGACATTAAGGACCAAAGTAAACAAACAACAACAAAGATAAATCAGGAGACTTTCATATACAAATACACATTTCTGGCTTCTTCTAAAGAATCGATTCTGTCTCTAGTGGTTGAAATTAGCTTCTAGCACACAGATGAGCACTCCGAGGGTGAAACAATCCTTCTCATTCCATAATAGGAGTGACTGAAGGGGTAAAGCTGGCAGGGAGGGGAAGCCATCTTCAACTATTCAGTCAAAAACTCATGATCACATTGGGTATTTTTGCTGCTCCTTTTTTTTTAATTCCTTGAGGATTTCATGTAGTATATTTTTGTTATATTGTTTCCTCAACCCCCAACACTATCCCTTTTAGGTTTTGGTAGTAGTTATTTGACACAAGGTTTCATCTAGTCCAGGTTATCTTCAAACTTACTATGTAGCTGAAGTTGATTTTGAGCTCTTAATATGCCTGCCTTCACCTCTCTAGGGATAGGATACAGGCATTTGCTACCACCCCTAGCTTATCTTGTTAACATCTAAAAGACTGCAGGGTTTAAGAAAAGTACCTTTTTCTTTGCTTTTAGGTGATAAATTAGATTATCCTAATGAAAATTTAGATTAACAAGTAAATATTGATAAAATTAGGAGAATAGATTACTATAATAAGTAGTATTTGCTTGGTAGATTAATTCTGGCAAAAACATGGTGGGGTAAAGGATATAGGTTAGTGTCCTGGGTTTGATCTCAATACTGGGGAGGAAGAAAGAGAGAGAATGAAAAAAAGAGGGGTTGTGTTCAAGACACAAAACTGCTCTTGTAGAGGACCTAAATTCAGTTCCCAAGACCCATGTCAGGTGGCTCATACCATCTATAATACCAGCTCCAGGGGATCTGATGCCCTCTTCTGGCCTCTGTGGGCATTGCACTCACATGTATACACACACACACACACACACACACACACACACACACATATAATTAAAAATAAGAATAAAATCCTTAAAAAAGAATGAAGTCCAAAAAGAAGAAAAATAACAATAAAAGGTGTCCTCACTAATGGACAGACTGAGGAAGGAGCAACTGTCTGTCCTTTCTACTGGAACTTGATCTCAAGTCAAAACTAGAAGTCCAAGTGTCAAGATTTCAGTTATCTCAGATTAGGTAGAGAAAACCTTGGGGAGAGGCAACAAATGGGGTCTGAAGCTTGTAATCTCACGTCCTAAACAGGCTCACTTTGATTTTAACAGGGCACCTAGTGTTAATACTGCCTCTGTTCTCTCTGAACCGAAAGGCAAAATGAAAAGCAATGTCTATTTCTGATATTGCTGTGTGTGTGTAGTTCATGGTCATTGTGCCAATGTACAAGGCCACTGTATATTGTATATGGGTGAAGAAACTCTCCTGATGACCTGCAATTCTCAAGGATTGTTACGTGTTCTAAAACATATTGTGATTCATAAGTTTTCTAGGTGGGGCAAAGGCATTACCTTTACAGTCCTTGTCAGCTCTTTCCCACATTTACCTAAAGCATGTGGGAATCAAAACTTCCAAGCTAATATAAATGCGGTAAAGCTCTCCTAATCCAGCCTCCTCATTTCCAAATGCCCAGGGAAGGGAAAAGGACTGCCCAAGACAGCACAGCCAAGACCAGAGCCAGGCTTCTGGCTTCTACCTCCATTTCTATATGTATATTTTTACTTCCTTTTCCTTTTAAAACAAACTACCTTAACCTGTCATTGCCTGAGATCTGTTTTGCCTTTGTATATTTCAGGCTTCTTCCTAATCATCCAGGTATTCCAATTTGTCCTCCTACTTCATCCTCAGCATCTTATCAGTGCTCCCAGATTCCACTTAGAGAAACCCTGCATGATGCCAGACCATCTTTCCACCCGCCCAGCCCCTGCTCCCCCTGCATGATGCCAGACCATCTTTCCACCTGCCCAGCCCCTGCTCCCCCTCCCCTTTGTAGCATATTTATTACACTACATACATTCTGAAGAGGAGAGAGGCTCAGTTTCTTGTCTAGGATGTAAAGAGCACTAGATTTAACTCTGAGTACTTAAAAACACAAAGAAACAAAACAGAAAAGAAATTTATTTCAAGTTAGAAGTGGATTGCTGCCGGGTGTTGGTGGCACACGCCTTTAGTCCCAACACTCAGGAGGCAGAGGCAGGCGGATCTCTGTGAGTTCAAGGCTAGCCTGGTCTACAGAGCAAGTGTCAGGATAGGCTCCAAAGCTACACAGAGAAACCCTGTCTCAGGGGGAAAGAAGTGGATTGCTGTTAAAACACTAAAGTTGGTTCTGGCCAGTGCTGTCTTACTCAGCTCACTCCAGTTGTATGGGGGAGGAACATAAATTCTTGAGGGAAAAAAATCAGGAAGGAGAAAAATGGAAGAGGAGGGAGTCAATGACGAGTGATAAGTGAGCTGCAATTTAAAGTTGATATATACAGCATGAGTACAGGCTGAGTCATGAAGAATACAGAAAAATCTATGCAAATAACTACGGGAAAAGAAGCAAAGGATACTTGTCAGAGGCACCATCCAGCCATCCTGCCCTTTGCACATTCCATGCCACACATCAGTTTTATGACAGTGTCAGCCGTGTTGAGATAAGAAAAACAAGGTCATATGCTAAAAATTTCGTGATACTAAATTTATTCCATTTGAAGGAATGTCTTACATTCTGAGATGAGAGCCTTCCTTCTTTAGTCCTAAGACATTAACAAAATGACATTGAAAACAGGAGATAATTGACATCTACCTGTGCTCCCTGACAACTTAGGAATGCCATAATTCTCAGGTGTTCTGTACTTTGATTTTCATTTTTTTTTTGCTATTACACTGATTTGGAAAACCCCAATGTCAGTTAGTCTTCTATCTAGATAAGTCAGATAGTAAGTGGTTACCAATCTATTAGGAACAAATCACAATTAATTAACATATACTTCAAGGAGAGGGCATAACAGAATTCATTCAAAAATCTCATTCATAAATAGTTCCATAAGTAGATCAAATTAGTCACAACAACTACTGCTTTGTAATTAATTAAATACTTCTTCACAATCTCTGACAATTTGACCAGAGTGAATTTAAAAGTAGCAATAAATACAGATGACGTTGCACAAATTGAAGTGGTCTTGATGCAAAACTCTTCCTGTGTTAGCTAGGTGGCAGCTAAGCTTTCTCATCTGAAATAAAACAAGAAATTAGTTTGAGCAATGATTATAGTAATAAGAAAAAAATTCTAAACAAAATCCATCTTCTCAGGCAGAATGCCCACTTGCCATGTGTGAACCTAAGGAAAAGCCCACAGAGGAAACAGCTTGGAGGATGAGGCCAAGTGCCCTGGCCTCGCTGCGCAAGGATAGTGTGGCAGTGGCTCCTACCAGGACAAGCTCCCTTGGTTGCTTGTGTGGCAATGCAGTTGTGCAAGCCTTGGCCAAACCTGCTTGGAGAGTAGGTGGCAAGCCCCCAGGTGTTCCTGCTCTAGGAAACCCTCCCTACACTTGTTCTAACGTGGAGGCAAGCTCCCACCACTGTCTACTCTCCTCTGAACCCCTTCACCTTCCAGCACCTCCAATATCTGGAGAAGGATACCCGGAATGGGCTAATGATGGGAGTCCCTGCCACCCCCCACTTAGACCCCCTACCCCTACCAGAGTACTTACAGAGCTGTGTCCGAATTCCGATCTTTCTCTTTCACGCAGAGCTAAAAGGCAAACGAAAGTTCATGAGTTTGCATCCTTTTCTCAGGTCAGGAGTGAATATTTTGACTGCATCAGCATGGCAATGGATGCTGTGGAGCTACAAGACAGCCATCTCTGTGTGGGCACAGGTCTCTTTGATTTGACCACATGGATAGATTTTATTGAATGTTGAGAAGATACAGGTCTTAATCAGAATGATTCTAATGTTCACAGGTCTTCATTTTATATACATAGTAAAAAAGTCTCTCTCTCTCTCTCTCTCTCTCTCTCTCTCTCTCTCTCACTGTCTCTGGGGGAGGGAGTATCAAGCCATAGTGCATATATGGAGGATAGAAGACAATTTGTAAGTGCCCATTCTTCTCCTCATATGGTCTCTGAGGAGAATTGAACACCTTTACCTGATAAACCATCTTCTCTATCTAGTTTGTTCTTTTCCCTTCCCTCCTCTCCCCTCTCCCCTCTCCCCTCTCCCCTCTCCCCCATTCTCTATCTCTCTCTCTCTCTCTCTCTCTCTCTCTCTCTCTCTCTCCTCATTCTCTCTCTTTCCTCCTTCCCCCTCATTCTCTCTCTTTCCTCCTCCCTGTCTCCCTCCCTTTCTTTCTTTGTAAAAAATGTTTTGGACTGGAATAGAGGGTGGGGCAAATTTCTTCTTGGGAAACACTGTTGCCCTGAATCAGATCTAGTTACTGTTGCATGAAGAATGACTTGCTGACTGATGAGTTCAGCCTAGGGCACTCTGTCTCTCTTTAGAGGTTTTCTGCCACATGTGCCCTCTTTGGCCCTGAGTGATCTGGCAGAGTCAAATGCATGGCATTAACCTAAACATGCACACATTCTGCATTACAGTCAACAATGATGTAAACCATTGGAGGACTCAAACTCCAGCCCTCAGCGGTAGAGCATGTGGCTGTATTCCAGAGCAGAGTAAGCAGATGTCTGCTGCTCCTTATGTTTACTTATCGTGCCAAGGGCACCATAGCAACAATAGAAGGGGAGGTTATTGATTGGGGTTTTTGTTTTTGAAACAAGCAGCCCTGGTTGGACTTATATTGAAGGTCTTCCTGCTTCTATGTCCCCAGCAGTGGGAAGGTGTGCACTGCCACCCCTGGCAGGAGAAATTTAAAAGGAAGAAAAACCAACTCCGAAGCCGCTGCCTGTGACACCATAGGTATTTCCACTCAGGATTTGTCATGTGCACTTCTCTTTAGAGCTACACATAGGACAGATGCTAGAGCCTTGTACATGCAAGACAGGGTCTACCACTGAGCCGTAGCCCAGCCTCTTAGATGACTTTCTACCCCAGTAACTTAGAATACTTAGGTACCTTCATTATTCTTTTTCTTCTAGCAAGTAATCCAAAAGCCAATGTCAGGAAGACCACCACACAAGCAGCAATGATTGGCTCTATTGGTACAACTGGAACTTTGTCTGTTGGGAGAGCAAACACAGGAAAGAGCAGCCAGCTTCTGACTTATGTGCTTGTAATATGGACCAGGCATGGTCCCTTATATTTGCATACACCACTCTTTTTTTATTTTTATTTTTTGGTTGTACGAGACGGGGTTTCTCTGTATTGTTTTGGAGGCTATCGGTCCAGCCCCACCTCGAACTCACAGAGATCCGCCTGCCTCTGCCTCCTGAGTGCTGGGATTAAAGGCGTGCATCACCACCACCTGGCTTACACCACTCTTTTAATTAAATCCTTCTAATGACACCAAAAGATGAGGAATGGGGAGGGGTCTTTGATAGACTAGGTTACTTATTCAAAATGACAGAATTAACAAATGGCAGAGGCAGATTTTGAACCCATTCATTTGTGAAAGGAGTTTCTGAAATATGAGCACCTCATCCCAAGTGATCGCTCAGTCCATTTCATGCTTTCATTATTTTACTTTATTTATTTTTAATACACAGAAAGTAGAAGCAAATTGAAGTCAATGCCTTCTTAAATGCACAAAGGTTTTTAGGAGGACTCTCGGAAGGAGAAAGAGGAAAGGAGGCTGGGAGAGGAAGAAGACAAAGGTGGAAATGGCTCCCTAGACTAAGAAAGAAAGGAGACACAGGTGGTCCTAGGAGCAGTGTACTCAGTGGTCTGTACTGTGTTAGTGCCCCAGGCAGACAAGATACATTGAAAATGGCTGCAAGGGAGTAGAATTTCAGTTATCAGCCTTGGCCAAAATTTCCATAGTTCTCTAAACGACAAGGAAAGGACAGTGGAGGAGCTGCAGCAACCATAACAGCTAGGAAATGAAGCCCACTCAAACATAAAGGTCACTTATTTGTATTACATTTATTGATTTGTGTGTGGTGTTCAGAGGACAACTTGTAGGAGTCAGTTCTCTCCTTCTACCACGTGGGAACCAGCGATGGAACTCAGGTTATCAGGCTTGGCAGTGAGTACCCACTGAGCTATCTTGCTGGCCCGATCAATTATCTTTTAAATATTTTCTTTCAATTATTTCTTTCAGCTCTTGCTCAGGATAATGGGGAGGTGGAGTAAATGGATTAAGTGCCCCTCATTTTTTGTGTGTGCTAATACTAGGGGTAGTACCCAGGGCCTAACACATGCCAAGCAGACATTCTACTGCTGACTAAATCCAGCTCCAGAGAATCCTTCACTTCTGCCCTCTCTGAGCTCCGCCCACCCCCCCAAATTATTCTTGTGAACGTGTGGGTAGTGCCAAGCCTCCATAGAGGTTGGCCTGATGAGCCTTCTAGAAAATCCTATATTAATTAATTCTGGGATATACTAGGGTCATTACCGGACTGGAGACCTCTACTTGCCACCAAGGAAGGCTATCAGAACAGAGAAGAAGGGAAGATCAGACGACTAGGAGAAGAAATCAGAGCGCAGTCACAGATCAGAGTATCTTTTACCAACCGGAAAGTCATGAAGCCACATGTTAACAGAACAGCCTTCCTTCCCCAAGCCTTGCCGAAACAAACTGACTGGCCTACTGGCTTACTTTGCATTCCAGGTTCCCGTTGGCAGTGACTTTGACATGTGTAACCGTGTAACTGCCTGCACTCCTCCCTTTGTCCTGCTTTGATGTTGCTCTCCCTCAGACCATTCCGGTACAACAGTTTCTAACGTGTGGGCTAACTCTTATGCTGGTGTAGAACGTCATGGCATTTTCAGTGTCTCATGGCTCTTTAGAAACTACCTCCATGGAGCAGTGAAGCAGGGAGAGCCCGTGGGAAATTTGGCATCAAGCCCCACTGAGTACCAGCAGCAGACCATGTGTGCTATAAAAGTCAAACCGACAGCCTGGGAAATAACAAAGCAAACAAACAAACAAACAAACAAACAAACAAAAAACCAGAAGAAGAAAACAAACTGGTTTGGCAGAACTCCACCCAAAACAAGTTTCTGCCCACCTAATAGGCAATTTGCTGATTTCCACACAAGCTGTATAATTAAAAAGCAAGCAAACAAACAAAAAACCCCATGGTCATAGAGCGATTATGCTTTCTTCCTGACCAAGAGGGATACTATAATCGGTCTCCAAGTGTGGTCTTACAGCTAATTAGGATAGTACCACATGAAGCTCACCCCACCACGTTTTTATAAAGGTTCTGGGTGAGGTTAAAAAAAAAAAGCCGCCAGGCGGTGGTGGCACACACCTTCAATCCCAGTACTCCGGAGGCAGAAGCAGGCAGATGTCTGTGAGTTTGAGACCAGCCTGGTCTACAAGAGCTAGTTCCAGGATAGCCTCCAAAACCACAGAGAAACCCTGTCTAGAAAAAAAAAAAGCTACAGGTTTCAAGGTGGTGTCATTTCCATTGCTTCTGCTCTCTGGACACGGTTCTTTTGGAGGTTTTGCTGTTGTTTTGTTTGTTTGTTTTTAATCAAGTAGTCCCCGAGACATACTGCCATTGCTCAGCAGGACAAATTACTGAAAAAACCAGTAACCCCAGTGATGGGGCAGTCAACTAACAACCTCTCCCCTCCCAAGCAGCCACTGTGTTTGTATCCTGGTCTCCCTAGTGTGGGGAGCAAAGAAGCTATGCTCTGGTGACACCAGTCCAGACAGGAGGAAGGAGGCTTCTTTGTTTACTGGGAAAAGGTAAGAATAGCAATGCGTAGGTACAGTGAGTAGTATTCTAGCAGGATGCAGCAGCCTCGTCTTGTTTGCCTGCTCCCCGAGTATCTGCCTGAGACCACATGTGTACAAAGGAATGGTATGTATTTGTGGCATCAGGGATTTCAATTGCCCCTTTGAGCAGGAAACCCAAGGAGATGCACACCTATGGTGCACATACATACATTCAGGCAAACACTCATACACATAAAGCAAAACCAAGATATCTTTAAAGAGGAAACGAAATCTAAGGAGAACACACCAAACCTCACTGGCTCTCCATGATCACAGGGTGATAAGTTTGAGTGACTGGAGCAGGCCTCTGATTAACCATGTTTCCCCTCTCCCTCTGCTGAGCAGGCAACAGGATACAAGTCAAGAATTGAAATGATTTCAGAGATTTTTAAAAAATCTACTCAATAATTTTCTTTTATGTATTTCTGAATTGTCTTCTGTTACAGGCTGTAAACTCAAATGGCTACTTCCTACACACATCAATGCTGGAGGGAAGTTGTAGGAGTTTCTTCAACAAAAAAACCCGCACCAGAATTGGTCTACCTTGGTCCCAGATCTTTGCTCAAAAGCTAGTAGTCTATATGAAGTGGGCATGAATCTTTTTTTTTTTTTGAGACAATGTCTCACTGTGCAACAGTCCTAGCTGTCCTGGAACTTGCTTTGTAGCCCAGGCTGGCCCTGAGCTCACAGAGATTCACCTGCCTCTGCCTCCCAAGTGCTGGGATTAAAAGCATGGGCCACCACACCAGGCTTAGAACTTTTTTTTCCTTTTTAAAGCAAACACTCTAGCCCTGAACTACCCAGCATTTTGCAGTGCCCAGGTTCAAACTCAAGACCTCCTACACACAAGGAAAGCACAATACCCACAGAGCTATAGCCCCAGCCTCCAGTCTTTTTTCCTTTTTTATTCTGAGCATGGTCTCACCAAATTACTGAGGCAGGACTTGAACTCACAATCTTCCTCCCTTAGCCTTCTGTATAGTTGAGATTATAGGCTTGTGGCACCAAACCTGACTCAGACTAGAATTCCTAAAGAAATTCTCCTGGCTGGGGAAAATTTTCCAATGAAATCTTAGCTTCGAAGCATAATGGTCACCACCATTGGTTGTCACTGATAATATTTACAAATTCTGACTTATGCGTCATGTAGAGCAATTACTTAAGAAAAGTTACCTATAACGACCAGGTGGAAGTCCATGGTCTCCGTTTTCAGAGATGAACTAGCAATACAGGTGTAGGTCCCATTGTCAGCTTTCTTGACTTTGGTGATTGACAACTGAAAAGACTCTGTTGTTTCTTGGATTTGGTGATGGTCTTTCTCTAAAATCAGGGTGCTGTTGTTTTTATACCACCTCATTTGCGCTTGGGGGTTGGATTTCACGTTGCAATCCAACCTTACATCTCTGTCTTCCTCTACAGTTTGGAAGCCATTTCCACTTAGAAGAGGAGGGACTGTAAGATTCAAGCATTCAAGATTAGTCAGAAGCAAGCAGCAATTAGTTCACTGTCAGCAATTCAAGAACCCCATTCCATGTTTCTCAGAGTGTATTCACCTCTTAGACAAAAATGTGCAGAGTAGTTATTGTGTGGTAAGTACACTGGGGACAGGAAAGTAAATGACAAACATTCAGTTCCTAACTTCATAGAACTTTAAAGGTTATAAAGCTAGACTACAAGGGACTGGAGAGATGCTCAGCAGTTAAGAGCACTGGCTGCTGCTCTTCTAGAGGTCCTGGGTTCGATTCCCATGGTTGCTCACAACTGTCAGTAACTCCAGTTCCAGGGATCTGATGCCTTCTTCTGGCTTCTGTGGACACTAGGCACACACAGTACACAGACATGCATGCAGGTAAAAATACTCATACACATATACTAATAAAATAAAATGATTTAAATGTAAAGTTTTTTTCCTAAAAAAAGGTATACCTAAAGCTATATATGATAAAGAGCATAATATATAAAATAATAGCTGGGTATGGTAGTACATGCCTCTAACCTCAGCACTTGGGAGGCAGAAGCAGGCAGAGTTCTATGAGTTTTAGGACCAGCCTGGTCTACATAACAAATTTCAGGCTGGCCAGGGTAACATAGTGGAGCCCTGTTTCAAAAACAGTCCTTGCTCTCTGAGCATATGTAATAATTTGATTTGTACAAGGGTTGGTTAAAACAGCACAATACTAAAGACAGACATGCTAGCTAGGTCTGATTCCATAGATGCCCTCTGTTGTGACTTTAAGACAGCTACTCAACTGTTAAAAGTTTCAGTTTCCTCGTTAAAAAACAAAACAAAACAACTTGGATAATGATACCTTTCTGTACTGTGAAAATTAAGTGAGACAATCCCTGTAAAGAAGTTGATAGCATGCTAACTATTATTATGAATGTGGTGGTGGTTTGGAAAGTTATTCACACCCTCGAGTTTTGCATTTTGTCTGACCACATTTGCCCAGGCCACAAATTTGCACTGGCTCAGTGGCCCTCTACAAAGAATGCCCTGCCTCAGGAAGCTTCTAAGTGTGATAAAACTTGTCTCTATGGAAGCTTGATAAATTCCCATGCCCCTCCTCGTTCGTCCTCCACAGCAAAAGCAGTTGTAGCCAAGGATAGTCGGAGACATTAATCTTCATCAGGTCATTCCACCCCTCACCCACGTGCAGGAGAAACAACCAAGTCACTTTTCCCTCGTGTCTATGCCCCTTGTGTTTATCGACAGGTGTTTCAGATATTGATAAATGGTCAGAGTGAGCAGTAAGGGAGGAGGCAAACCTGGCGAAGGAGGGAAAAGGAGCTTGTCTCATCTGCACACTGAATAATTAGACCCTGAGTGGGCTGTGCTATTAATAACTTTCTCAGAAGAATGACATTTTGTTGCTCTGTGGAATGAGTTTGAATTCTGTATCAGTATCCAACAAGGATGTTGTGTGGTATTCAAACACACAGGAAGCTTCTGGAATAGAGAACAGAACTACCAAGCACAGCAGTTCCATTTGTGGACATATCCTATTAATTGTTTCTTTTAACCATCAACGTTATGAATGTCTAAGCAAGTCCTCTACACTGGTCCTTTAAGAAAATCACATCTCAAATAAAGCTAAAACATTCTCTTTGACTTGCAGCCGAGTCAGTTCCTGTATCCCTACTGTTTTGAGATAATATCTTAGCTCAGGCTGGCCTTTAATTGACAATCCCTCTGCCTTAGGCTCCACATCAGTGCTAACATTATGTAGCCTTGTACCTCCAGACCCTGCTGCTGATACAAACTAATGAATAAAAGGTGCAAATATCCAAATAGAAACATAACTAAAAGGCATGGGTAGGCATTCCACAGAGAAGAAAAATGAATAGTCATTAAGTACATGAAAGAGTGAATATCTTCATTTTTAGTTTAAAAAATGAATGCGCTAGGTACACAGTGGCTGACTTTGAAAGACTGAGATAGAACAACCACTTGGGCTCAAAAGTTTGGAGCTAGCCTGGGCAACATCGTGAGATGAGACACACAGGTGGGAGGGTGGGTGTAGACTTTCAAATGTGCCTGGCAAACACTTGGTGCTCCTGAGGGGACGGGGAAATAGACACTCTGATGTTTCATATGGGAACGTGAATTAGCCAGTGTGGCCAAATCAAGATGGGGATTTCAGCTGTCACTTAACAAATTGTAAATATCCAAGATTAACTGGCAGTTTCTTTTCCCTCCACTCACAAGTAACATTCAGCACCACTGAGACCGACACCGTCTGATCGCTCTGCAGCTTGCAGGTAAAGCGGACTCCATTGTCATTTTCACTGATGGAAGAGACACAGACAGAGCTGGTGTTGATTGTATTCCCAGTTTTCAAATCAACTCTTCCATCTTCTCGGTACCAGAGAAGTTCTTCCTCTCTGGTGTGGTTTTGCACAGCACATTCCAGAGATGCTTGGACACCAGTTGGCGTGTCCAGGACATAGTTCTCCGTTTTACCATTCACAGTTAAAACAGAACCTGAGGATTTCGAGAAAAAACTGTTAAGATAGGCAAATGTCGAACAAAGATGTCCACCAACAGAGGATTGGTTAAATGAATTATGTTACATCACTGCAATAAAATGTACTCTCAACAATTAAAAACAATTATATCAAGCTATATGATTTTACAAGGAGATAGATACAATGTTTTGTGTTTGGTTGGTTGATGAGTTGTTCTCAAACAGAAGATCCCCCTGCCTCAGCTTGCCAAGTGCTAGGATTATCTGTACGAGAGCATAACATAATGTATTATTAGCTAAAATAAGAAAAATATTAAAAATTGTGGCCACCGAATTTTGCTGCACATTGAAATCACCCAGAGACTTTACATCCTGATGCTAGGCTCATCCCCTGGCCATCTGATTGATTGACAGAAGTGTAACCTGGATATTGGGGCTGTTTAAAAGTTCCGCAGGTGGTTCAAATGTACAGTGAAGTTTGACAAGTGCCAAGCTAGAAAGAGTGCATACAAAACAATTCCAGAATGATCTGACAGAAAAAAAATGGGACGTTCATTAAGAAAAGTCTTGAGGAAATATCATATATTTATATAGACTAGAACTGGTAAATATAGGTAAGAAGTAGAGAAATAGCAGGTTTGACATGCTTGCTTTTAGGGGAGGTAGTGTAGGAATGCAAGGACTTGAAAAGGACTAGCAAAGTGGAAAAATATTTAAAACTTAAGTCCGAAGACAGAATACAAGTTCCATCTCTAATAATTACCACAAGCATCAAAATTGAATATGTATATAGACAAAAACTGACTTTAAAATACTTTTCTTATTTAGATGATAGAAATATAGATTAATTTGTTCTTGCATTTCTCATGTCTTAATACTAGACAGTACAGTAAAATTTAAAAATTTTAAGTGAGGTAGACAAGATTTTGCGGGGTGCGCAATCGGGATCTACAGCAGCTCTCTTTTGTTGTTTGGTTTTTGAGAAAGGGTTTCATTATGTAGTCTTGGTTGTCTTGGAATTTGCTTTGTAGAACTGGCTGGCCTCAAAGTCACAGAGATCTCACTGCCTCTGCCTCCTGAATGCTGGGATTAAAAGCATTCACCACCATGCCTGGCAGGTTTTGGGTTTTGCTTTTCTGCTCTGATTTTCTAATTTTTTTCATTGCATAGTAATATATACTTGAATTTCAGTTCTTATTTTGCTGGATCAGAAGCAGGTAACAAAAGTTAGAGCTCTGGCTGCTGCTGACCATCCTCCCAAATATGTGCTAACATGACCTCTAATTCGACTATAAGTGTGCCAGTGCCTACCACTGTACACTCTCGTGCAAAGGCCAGAGGACTCCAGGTGTCTTTCTCTAGTCTCTGCACCTTATTGCCTTGAGGCAGAGTCTCCTACTAAACCAGAAGCCTTCCATCTCAGGTCTGCTGGCCAATAGGCTCTCAGGCTCCACCAGTCTCCATTCCCCAGTGCTGGGGCTACAAGTATACAGAGCCTTGCCCAGCTTTTACAATGCATGTTGAAGATGTCTGCTGAGCCAGCAACCCAGCCTCCTTGTTTTGTTTACTGGATTGAACCTGGAGTCCTTAAGCTAATTAAGCATTCACTTTACTACCAAGCTACAGCTACAACCTTTGGCCTAATTTGTTTTATCATGAATAAGTAGTTTAAAATGAGAGGAGAGAGAAGTCACTTTAAGGCAGAGATGGAGATAAAGATGTGGGCAATATTTTCCTCTAAGTTGTGTGTTCAAATAAACAGAAGATCATCTCTTTTGAAATTGGTACTAAAATATATTAAAATGTGAGAAAATTCTGACTACAGTTCTAGAGAGAATAGCAGCACTTTTTAAAATGTTTTCTGACCCCTACAATCTGAACCAATGTATTGGGCAGCCATTCCAAGTTCCAAACAACTTAAGGTTGTTCTCAATGTCCAGAGATTTTAATTTAATTATTATTATTTTTTTAAATCTAAAAAGAGGTCATAGTCCCAGACCTCGGGAGGCAGAGGCAGGTGGATCTCTGTGAGTTCCAGGCCAGCCTGGTCTACAAAACTACACAGAGAAACCCTGTCTCAGGGGGAAAAAAGAGGTCATAGAGAGTATTAACTTACTTGTTCTCCCATGTGGCAAACATAAAATCACTAGGAAAAGTTTGCATATTTGCAATGGCCAGATGATCTTCCACACCATCCTTAATGAATGCAGCTTGGCTCTCCTGGAGGCAAAGAATGCACTTGATTCTGTACAATGAGTTTATGTACTTTCTTCCTATTGAGGACTTAAAATAAAGTCCCAAGTGAGTTAGCCCAGCTGTAATGGCACACTCCTACCTTTTAATTAAACAATTCTGATTAAGTTCTTTTAGATTTTAAGACTTTTTTATAAAAGCGGCAACAAAAATAAAACTACAATGATATAGACTAGTTATCAGGTGAAAAATGGTCTTTCCTAGACACAAGGAGAAAACAGCCACTTTAATGGAAATTAATTCTGTGTTCTCAGGTTGTCTGAACAGAGCAAAGTTGTTCTTTTTTGAAAGTCTAACTGGAGTCATATTTGGAAAGCTGTTCTCCAATGAGAAAATTCTTTCAAAAGAAAATCCTTATCTTATATGTTTAGGTATCTTGCCAGCATGTATGTCTGTGCACCACTTGTGAGCCTGGTGTCCAAGTAAGCAGGGAGGAAGTGTTGGGTCCCCTGAAATTGGAGTTATATATGGTTGTTAGCTGCAATGTGGGCACTGAGAATTGAACCCAGATCCTCTGCAATCACAGTAAGTGCTTTTGACCACTAAGTCATCTTTCCAGTCCATCACGGACAGTATTGAGGTTACAACAGGTTCAAAGGTGTCCACTAGTTCCAAACATGGCATCTTGTCTTAATATTCCTATCAAGAACCGATAGTCAAGGCCTCCCTTTTCCTTTCTTCTCCATACTGATGCTCTATCCTTATAAGATCTTTCTTGGAAAAGCATGTATACATTATTTATTTCCCTTGGAGAGAGGGGCAAGGTGTATAGCTCAATGATAGGGTACCTGCCTCAAGTGTGCAAAGTCCTGGGTTTTATTCCCAGGACTGCAGACAGACTGACAGACAGAAAGGAAAAGAGTATTACTGCACATATTGCAGAAACACATCTGGCATGACTTCTAGAGAGTGTTAAACACTTCACATATATTTGTTCAATCACTACTAAGCCCTACAACGACCTATTTGTTTTGTCTTTGAAAGTCTTTTCTTTTCTGGCCTCAAAGTCACATCGATTCACTTGCTTCTGTCTCCACCACCCGCTCAGCTGAACCAGAGTCTCTCTAGATATCCCAAGCTGGCTATACAGAAACATAGGATCTCTTACCTCAGCCTCCTGAGCACAGGGATTACAAGTGTGTGCCACCATATTCAGCAACAACCAACCTGCTGATGCAGTGATGCAATTTGTCCAACACATTTGCCCAGAGACAGTAAATGTTACAGTCAGGATTCAAACCCAAGACTGCCAAGGCTACACTCATCGCTGCTCTTCTGCCTAAATTACAAGTCTTTCCCTTCAAAAGATGCTTCTAGTCTCTTCTAGTCCCTTGTTCCTCCATTAGCCTTAGCAACCCAGTATTTTGTTTTTTACTGTGAGTATTAACTGTCAAGGGCAGGAATACACCTCTGAGTAATTTGGGGCTCCTCTGCTCTTCCCTTGCTCTAGGACTGTCCCACAGGAGCAAGTGTGCATTCCACAAGACTGGAAGGCCTCTACTAATCTTAAAATGCAATTACTATTAATCTGAAAAATTTGTAAGTGAACTTTTCTTGCCCAAATATTTCTATCACTCAATTGTAAGAGCAATGACCTCAGGACCAGTGAGATGATGACTAAGCGTGTGAAAGTGCTTGCTATGGAAACCTGACATCCTGAGTTTGACCCCCAGATCCCACGTGAGAGAGAACAAACTCCTGAAAGTTGTCCTCTGATCTCCACATGTGTGCTGTGGCATGCATGAGCCCACTCCCCCACACACTAATAATAGATACAATAAAAAGAGTGGTGATTTCAGAACCTGATCATTAATAGAGTTTGCTTAGCAGCTCAGTGGGAGAGCACTACCATAACCTGCGTGAGGTTTCACTGCCAATCTCCAGCACACTAAGGAAACAAGGCAGGTTAGAAAAAAAAAAGATAAAACAGTAACTTTTCTCAAGCACAGCCTGCTAAAGGTCCTGAATAAATACTCAAGAGTGGGTGGTTGTGGTGCTTACCTTTAATCCTAACACTCCGGAGGCAGAGGCAGGTGAGTTCAAGGCCAGAGTTCCAGTACAGTCAGGGCTACACAAAGAAACACCATCTCAAAAAACCAACCAAACAAACAAACAAAACCAAAAGCAAAAACAAACAAACAAACAAACAAACCCTCAAGAGTGGGAGGCTTCACTCTACCCTGTGAAGAGGACGAAGTGATGGCTCTTATTTTCCAAGACACCACTGTTTCAAAGTAAAGTCCCCTCACTGGACTTCACTTTCTCTAAAAGACAAGCTTGTCACTTACCTACTGAGCTCTGAGCAGCTGACCAACCTCCCCAGCTAACTCTTCCTCTGCCCAGGAGCCCTGAATTATTTCCCTGTTATGATCCTTTATAATGCTTGAATTTGAACACTTTATGACAGAAGGGTCAAGTAACTGAGATAAATTGGGTGCAAAGTCCTCTTCCCTTTCTGGATTCTTAGGAAGACAGTAACTGGGAATGACATCTTCACAAGATCTAAGCCTTTCTGTGTACCCAGGTTACTAGGTGGAGCCGGATATTACTAACAGGGGTGTATTGTCCCAGGGAAGCCTGAACTTGTGCAGAAACCTACAGCACATCTCACCTGACACTGTCAATTCTCGACTAAGATGACTGAGCCTGGTGATCTGATAGCTTGAGGACCGTGACCGGACAAGTCTAAGGAGAGGTTTGACTTTCACAATCATTGTAACACTTGAAGATTTCACATAACTTAATTCTGGAAAAATTTTTTGTCACCAGTAACCTGAGCCCAGTCCTGAAGCTGGGCCAAGCAACCAGAGACAGTTTTAGCTCCCCGAAGCTCTCTCTGGATTGAGAAATCACTGCCTTATACTTTAAGAATGAGATAAACTGATTTTATTGATGGAAATACTTAAGTTGGACTCAAGAAATGGCTCAGTGGGCAAGGCACGTGCTGTGCAAGCATGAGTTCCTGATTACAGATCTCCACAGCCTGACGCAGTAGCTGTAATCCCAGCACTTCTACAGTGAGATAGGAGGTTGAGAAGGGGGAAGAGACCAAAGAATCCCAAAAGGTCCCTGGCCAGTTAACTTGATATACAAGAGAGCCTGTCTCAAACAAGATGGAAGATGAGGACCCACACCCAAGGTTGTCCTCTGACTTCCACATGTGCCTGGATGCTCGTGCATGTGCGCTCACACAGAAACCCCCATGCACCCCATACTTTATGGTAGTATTACTAATGGGCATTTATCTGCCAAGTACTATGGTTCCTATTTGTTAAAAAATAGAAGATTGGCCAGCGGTGGTGGCGCATGCTTTTAATCCCAACACTCGGGAGGCAGAGGCAGGCGGATCTCTGTGAATTCGAGGCCAGGCTGGACCGACAGCCTCCAAAACAATACAGAGAAACCTTGTCTCGTAAAAACCAAAAAAAAAAAAATAGAAGGTTGTTTGTTATTATCCATACCACCCCTTTTCTGTTGCTGCTTAGTCATATATTCTAGGCAAGCACTCTACCACTGAGATACACCCTCAACTCTCTCCATTTTTGTTATTTATTTATTTACTTACTTACTTAATTACTACTTTTAGGCAAGATCTCATATAGCCTAAGCTGTCTTTGAGCTCACTACGTAGCCATGGCTACTATTACTCCCAATCCTCCTGCCTCCATTCCAAAATGTTAGGATTACAAGTATATACCATCACAGTTGGCTCTTTCCACATCTTTTTAACACATTGGGTAACCACAGCAGAGATCTATTTCTTACTGACTGTGTGACTTTGAGCCTTCGGTTCTTGAAGAACACAATAGAATTAATAATAGTACCTACCCTCCCTACAGAGTCACTGTGAGGATTAAGTGAAATGGAGCATGTAAAGCTGCTGTACAGTAGGCTCTTCATAAGCCATAATTATTATTGTCATGAAGATAGGTTGGGCACAGCCCAACCTTGCTCTAGCATTGTTCAAGTAAGGATCTTCATCAGGAAAGCTCCTGGTGGCTGGGTACAGCCCTCCCAACGCAAGCAGGATCCAGGTGTGCTTCTCAGTGGACACAAGAGCAGTGGGTTCTACTGTTTTATTATCTAAAAATGAATTTAGCAGGGCTGAAGAAATGAATACGAGTGCTTGTTGTTCTTGCAAAGGACCTGAGTTTGTTTTCAAGCACCCATGTCAAGCAGCTCACAACTGCCTATAGCCTGAGCTCCATGGGATCTGATGCCCTCTTCTGATCTCCACAGGTACCTCACACACTCACATAGAGACACAAATCACATTTAAAAACTCTTCTTAGTGATTTATGTATTATTCTATGTGCATAGGTGGTTTGCCCGCATGCATGTCTGTGTGAGGGTATCAGAGCCCCTGGAACTGGAGTTGCAGACAATTGTGAATTGCTGGGAATTGAACCTGGGTCTGGTCCTCTCGAAGAGTAGCCAGTGCTCTTAACCTCTGAGTCATCTCTCCATCCCGAAACAAGTATTTTTCTTCTCTCTCTCTCTCTCTCTCTCTCTCTCTCTCTCTCTCTCTCTCTCTCTCTCTCTCTCTCTCTCTCTCTCTCTCTCTCCCTCCCTCCCTCCCTCCCTCCCTCCCTCCCTCCCTCCCTCCCTCCCTCCCTCTCTCTCTCTCTCTCTCTCTCTCTCTCTCTCTCTCTCTCTCTCTCTCTCTCCTTCCTTCTTTTCTTTTTGGGGCTTTTCAAGACAGGGTTTCTCTGTGTACCTTTAGAGCCTGGCCTGGAACTCCCTCTGTAGACCAAGCTGGCCTTGAACTCACAGAGATATGCCTGACTCTGCCTCCCTGAGAATGAATTTTGCAAAGGTCTGATGCCTTTGGGTTTGGATTCCTCCAAAACAGATCTTAGGCTAAAGCTTTGGGTGCAAATAGTTCATCTAACAACCATCGGGAAGCACTATAAGTAAGACAGGGAAAGGAGAGACCTACCAAAGGATGTGTTAGTAGGAAAGTGACTACTGTGGAGCCTTCAATGAGTTCTGTGCAATACAGCCCACAGCCAGTTCATGCAATAATTAGCCACTGGTGTCTTTCCATCTTTGGTTGACAGCCAATGACTTTCCAGTGCTTCCAGCCTGCCTGGTGAGTCAACTTAAAGACACACAGGAAGTCACTTGCTCTCTGGGAACTGTTTGTAGGTAACTTCTATGTAGGCCATGAGGCTATGGGTAGGGCACTAACAGCAATTTCTATACCTAGATATTAGATAATATTAGGAAACAATATTTGATTATTCATAGATATGATAATGATGTTGCAGTTATGTGGAAGAATGCCCTAATTCTCAAGAGATTCCTGCAAACAATGTAGGGGTTAAGTGTCATGATAATTACTACTAACTTTTAAATGAGTCAGCAAACACAGGGCTGGGTATCTGTTTCAGTGGGAGAGTGTATGCTTACCATGTTCAAGGCTTTGGGTTCTATCTTCAGAAACACAAACAGAAAATCAACAGAATAAACATGGTAAATGTTAGCTGGCATTTACTGAATCCAACTAGAGGTTATATAGATCTTCATTTTAACTGCTATCCTTTTAACTTCTGTGTACATTTGACAGTTTTAATATTAAAATCATTGAAGCAGTGTATTAAGCAAGTATTTAATGAGTACCTTTTGTGTACGAGGTATTTGGAATGCCAGTTCCATCCAAGCCAATTATGATGGCTCTGTTCTGAAAGGTGTCTTCTCAAGTTCCTCTACTGCCCTCTATGGAAAATTGTTGAAGTGACTCTACAAAGCTCCCATGTTTCCTGGTACTTCCCAGGCTTCACATTAAATTGGAGGATGCTCTGATGAGCAACTTGCCCAACTCCAAGGTGGAAATGGCTCTAGTTCGCAATAAGAAAGCTTGCGAACCCTGTAGAGGGCCTGCAGGTGATGAGGAGGGATTTCCAACAAGAAAATGGTAGTGGAGTGGAGAATCAGGCAAGTGATATGATTGGCCAAAGTCAAATAAATCCCTGGATCAGTCCCACCCCCTGGAACCGAGGGGAAGGAAAATCACCTTTCTGCTAACAATTAAGTCCAGCAGCTAACCTAAGCCTAAGGAGTGTGGCTGACTGGACTATTAGTAGAATTCAGGGCTTGGGTAGGGGCAAGTAGAACGACCTCTTTTGCATGCATAGGACTCTGGATTCCACCACAAGCACTGAAAAAATACAGTCTAGTACTCCACAGCTTTCCCAAATAGCTTGGCCCAGAGGAGGAGCAGCCTGAGTTTGAAAGTTCTAAGAATCGTGACCCATATGTGCTCCACATTCCCCAGAACCAGGACTTTCTGGAAAGGTGCCAAAGAAGGAGTACAAGGACAGGGAAGTTGTGACTTTCTGATTAAAGTGAGTATTATGGGGTTGGGGTGGGCAGAGGTGTGACTTATCAGTAGTAAAGTATACACTTAGCTTATCTGAGGCCCTCAGAAAATCTTTAACAACACACACACACACATATCCCTTACATACACACACACTCCCTCACACACATATATACATACCCACACATACACACATATAGTCACATACACACATATACACACCCCCTACACACATATATACCCCCACACATATATACACCACACACACATACATATATACACATATATATACCCACACATACACACATAGACATCCCACACACATACACTCTTCCATGCACATATTACACTCACACTCACATATACCCATCACACACACTCACTCAGGGACATTACTAGGCACCTTTCCTTCATCAGCTCTGAAGAGACTCAGGAGTCTTACTTAAACAAGTTTCCCAGGTCGCTCTGACACAGTGGCCTGGTGACTTGTGCCTTTTCTTGAGAAACCACGGTCTATAGAACTAGGTCTAGATCAGGGTGACAGAGTAAAAACCATTACCAAAGGGGAGGATCTAGCACAGCCCCCACTGAATGGCAGTCACTCAAAGGTATGAGCTGAAGGAAAGAAGGAAGGAGGGAAAGCGGGAAGGGAGAAAGGGAGGAAGGGACAGATGTCAGTGTGTTCACTCCAGCACAAATTGGAGGTGTGAGTTAGGTGCCCTGCCCAGGAAGGGACTGATCCGTATACCTGCAGCGATAGGGTCACAGGCCAGGAGGGTTGCCTACACCAGTCACTTGGAATGACACTGAAGGTTGTAGAATGGCAGAAAAGCAAGGAATCTGACAGTCATACCCTAGTGATCACGGAACACCTTCTGGACCAGCACAGGGACCCAGTGTGTTGCTTCTTCTACCCAGAATCCAACAGTGCCACTAGCTGCTGTAAGTTATTCACATAACTTGGGCTGACCTCTATCTCACTGTGGACTCTCTTTAAAAATAATATGAAATACTTCACAAATGTGCATGTCATCCTTGTGCAGATGCCATGCTAATCTTCTCTGTGTGGTTTCAGTTTTTGTACATACACTATTGATTCGAGCACCACTGTGAACCTCTGCTCCTCCTGCCTCCAGCTCCTAAGTGCTGGAATTACAAGTGTGGGCTACCAGGCCTGGTTTACTCGGGGCTGGGGATCAAACCCAGGGTTAGGCCAGTGCTTGATCAGTTGAGCTCCCCCCTCTTGTCACTTGTCATTTAAAAGGTAAAGAAAGTATAGATGAGGAAAGGGATTTGTCTAAAGGGACACACCTCTTTAGTGACCAGCTGGGGGTCAGAATCCATTGAAAACTATCCTCTGCACATGCTTTTCCAGATGTATTTAGATTTTGTTTAATTTTTTAAAAATTTTACATTTATTTATCTTGGGGGAGGGCACTTATGTGCCACAGCTCATGTGTGAAGGTGAGATGTTCTCTGCTTGTACCATGTGTATTCTGGGGATTGAACTCACACCTTTAGGCTTAGTAGCAAGCACTTTTACATGCTGAGCCAGCCCACTGCTTCTTTTCTTTCTTCTTCCTCTTTCTTACTTTCTTTCTCTTTTCTTTTTCTTTTTTTGAGACACAGTTTCTCTGTGTAGACTTAGCTGTCCTGGAACTCACTTTGTAGACCAGGCTAACCTCGAACTCACAAAGATCCACCTGCCTCTGCCTCCCACATGCTGGGATTAAAGTTGTGTGCTACTACTGCCCTGCTAGCCATCTCATTGTTTCTTAATGTGACTTCTTGAACTACTAAAAATGAGTTTAGAGCACTGGGAAAACTGCCAAATCTGTAGGCTGTGAATATGTGTGTGAAGGTTTGTGTGTATGTGTGTACATTTTCCTAGGGAGGGCGTCTCTCATCCTGGGCTGAATAAACTTAGACATCATTTGCCCTTGCAGCCTACCCATACTAGAAACCAAGATCAGTTCCTCCCCCTGTCCTATCCTGTCCTTCCTTCTTCACCCTCTATAAACTTTGGGTCTAGAGGAAGTACTGAACTGATGTTTACCGAGTACCAGTCACTTGCTGGCCCTTTCCTTATGCCTTTCTGTGCTCTCTCAGTCAATCTTTGCCTCCATTTAGAAGGTGCCCATGATAGTGACCATTTCACATGTAAGGATACTAAATTTAATGGACCTTGATGATAAGTGGCAGAGAGCTAACTTAGTATGCATAAAGTCCTGGGTTTTATCACCAATATAAAAACAAAACCAAAACAAGACCAACAAACACAAATACCAGCAACCCAGAAAACCAAGTGCAAATGTCCCCAAGCATCACAATCCCTGTCTCCAAAGTAGACAGCACAGTAGTAACTGTGTCAGACTGGTTTTAATCTTCTCTCTGTGTATGATATATATGTGTGAACATGTATGTGCATGTGTGGAGGCCGGGTTTTAATAGCAGATGTCTTCCTCTGTCACCTTTCACCTGTTTTTGTTTTTTAAGATAAGGTCTCCCTGTGTAGCCATGGCTGACCTAAAACTCACTGTGTAGACCAGGCTGACCTCAAACTCAGAGACCCACCTGCCTTGGCCCCCTACCAGCTCCCCCAAGGTCAAACGTGAATGGCACTATGCCAAGCTACACCCTATTTTTTGAGAGAGAATGTCTCATTGAATCTAGAGCTCACAGTTTTGGCTAGATTAGCTAGCCAAAGAGCCCCAGATGTGCCTGTCTCCCCACCCCACCCCTCCCTTGGGTGACAGGTGTACTCTTCACGTCTGGTTTAGACCTGATCTGAACTTAGGTCCTCTTACTTACATATCAAGTACTTTCACCACGGAGGCATCTTCTGGCCCCTTTATCTTGTCTTTAACACAGGATCTTACTACATAGCTCAGACTGGCCTCAAACTCAAAACCTGCTCTGGCCTGCACACTTTCTCCACTTGAGGGCGGGACACTGTTAAGAGTCAAAGTAGGTGACCACTAGAGGTCACTTCTCACCCACAAAGGTTCTAGAGCTAGGGTTAAGATCCTTCCTCACAGGTCTATTCTGATCAAGCAGGGTAGGGGCTGGGTGGGAAAAGACTGGGAAGGGGGTTGGGGATTTTGGGGGAGGAGGCTGGGATACAGAAGGAGCAACGCAGAATAAAGTGACTCTCTTAGAAGGAGGAGACAATGTCTTCTAGTATCAGTCTTGATTGAAGTAGAAAGAGTTCAAAGACTTCTTTATCCAAAGAGGAGAGGAAGAGGAGGTGGCGGTACCTCCAAATGAGATGACCGACCACCTGCCTTACCTGCAAACTTCCACTTCCTTCCCAGCCGGCTCCAGGCTCCATTTTATGCACAGGCCCTTTCTACAGGCCCTGACCATTCCTCAATGAATGTTGTGGTTTGGTACTCTTCTCCTTAAAGGGGCCTCTCCATAATAAGCATCAAGTCCCATAGGCTTTAGACCCACTGGCTCCAGTACAGAGAATTTAAAGAGAGAGGAAAAGGAGGCCAGGAGTTCCAAAGGAAAGCACCCGCTCCAAGACTAACAAGGGAGGGCTTCCTGTGAGAGTAGGACGGTTCATTTCAAGGGCCAAAGACCCCCAGCAGCCACTTAACTTCTAAGGGGTGATGAACTAAGCTGGCAGGCAGGGGTGAGGGAGTCCTTCCTCTTGCTGGCCTACAGGTTCCTGTGGCTGGCAGTAGTTTGCCTGAATTTTCACCGACAGGCCTGCAGCATCCTGTTAGCTGTTTTCTGAATAAACAGTGGTCTTGCCAACCATTGTGTCAATTTTGGAAAGAAAAAAAAAGCACCAAAAGGACAGTCCCAGAAATCCCATGCTGTGAACTTTGCAAAGGGATAAATGACAAGGTGCCAGGGAGCCACCTGCTCGCGGTCCCTGCAAACCTGCTTCATCAACCCCTGGTTAACCTCCACTCGCCTCCCCCACACCTGAGCTTACCAACAGCCCCAGAGCCACCCTCCCAGAAGTGGATTTGAAATATGAGCTCACGAGCTCGGCCGCCCTGCCAGTAATCTCCTCTTGCAAAACTTGTCATTTCAGAATTTGGTATACTGTGAGGCGGGCAAATGGACTTGAATTCTGTGAGGAGTTCTTGGGGAAGAGGCCAGAGGGGAAGTGCTGACATTCCTCCATAACAGCAGCTGGGATGCTGCCTCACTTGCCTTTGGTGTCTCCCTGGGCCAAGGATCATCCAGCATTAGGAGACGATGTAATGGGGGGAGGGGTGTGTGAGAGAGAAAAGAGGATCAGAAGAGGAGAGGGGCCAGGGGCCTTATAAAAGGCCAGGCCAGAGCCACTAAATGTTCTGCCAGCTCTGCAAACCCCACCCTTCCTGACAGGGTGCTCTCTGCTTCTGCTTCAATAGACACCTGTCTTCAGCTCTCCAACATCTTTACTGCCTTTGTCCCTGGGCCTTTAATGCTTTGTTTGCCTCCAGAGAGACCTAGGACTGCTGGGAAGCCAGCCACGGCTGTCGGTGCAGTTCCATAACAAGAAAGACAGTTCTATTTGGGAGATGTGACAGGTTCCGGGATAAAAGCTCAAGCAATATCCACAAGGCTAAGGGCAGATGGCCTGAGGAACCTGGGGGCTCTCTGTTTTTTAAGTGAGCCACAGTGCTGGAACCTGGCTGAACCCAACAGCTGACAGGCACCACTGAGAACTGACCCCTGCCCCCCCAACTCCACATCCAGTGACTTCAGTCAGGTAGCTTGAGATTGGCCAAGGTGAAAGTATTTATAGAATTAAAATGGGCAACCACTGCAAATCCTGGCTCTTTTCTCCAGAACTGTCAGATGTTTATTTACCAGAGCACTGTTGTGCCACCTCTACACGCTACTGCCCGAACTGCCGGTGGCCTCCGTATTTGTCTCTGCATGGGCTCGCAGAGGAGAACCTGCGTGCTTCCCTGCCAATCTTACTTGTTCTGTTATGCAGACATTTTGAATATTTTCCCACTAATTACATCCTGATTCCAGTCAGTTATCTCTTTTCTTTCTTTTATAACACATAATTGTTCTCACACCTCATTTGAAGGCCCTTCTTGCCTTAGGGACTAAATGACTTCTTGTGAAATCTTCTATGGCAATAATCCATCCAGGATAGCAAATTACCCTGTCTTTCCACAAGTGAGCAGTACAGATGCCATCAACAACTGCACAGCATTATCCAGATGGAAGCTGTGTCATGATTTGGTGTCTGTCTGGGCACCTTTGCAATGGTGAGACTGCACCAACCTGGTTTTACCCCTGATTGACATGTGGTCTATCAAGCTCCACCCAGTGTTCTTCCAGGAGGCTAAAAGTCCTTCCAGAGTTCCCACAATGAACATCCTGTCCCTGTAGGACACTGGAAGATTTTACATGAGCATCTTTGCCTCAGGTAGAGAGAAACAGGCAATGAGAAGTCACCTGGTCTGCTCAGGTCAGCCTGGATGATGGGTATCTCAGTGTGAAGACCATTAGCTGCAAGACATACCATGGGAAGATATATAGGAGGGAGTGGTTACCCACATGCCCACTTCCTACCAAGTATTCATATAATAAATAGCTTGAAGTGCTGCAGGTACTCAGTGGTAGAATACTAGGCATATGTAAGTCCCTAAATTCAGTCATCAGTAACGAACTCACACACACATACACACCAGGGTGGGGAGACACTGGGTATGATGGCATAATCCTGGGGGGCACTGGGTGTGATGGCACACCCCCGTAAACCTCACACTTGGGAGGCTTAGGCAAGAAAACCTTATGTTCAAGGCCAGCCTGAGCAACAAAGTAAGATCCTGTCTCAATAAACTAGAAAAAACAAAAACCCTACCATGCAGCTCATAGTTAATAATTTAAAATTTTTAAAACTTTAAATCAAGGTGCACAGTAGGACTCATAAGGAAAAACAATTCCAGGCCATGCTTCTGTCAATGGCTCCCCTCTTCTAACCCTATTCCCCAAGGCATCTCTTTCAGAGACTCATACAATTTGCTCTGATAGTCATCATCTTCAAGGTTTGTTACTGTGATAATGAGCACAGTCACTTCATTGTTTCCTTGCTGCATTTATGTCTAGAGCAGTATTTGGCACATGGTAAATATCTGTTGAAACTACACTGTCCCTCCCCTCTGGGCTGGGGTTTGAACCCAGCGCCTTTAAACTACACTTGCAACCCTAATAACTTTTTTATTCACTCATATACTAACCACATTTCCTTGTTATGTCCCCAGCTGCTTCAAGATTTTGCCAGGGTTGGTTCTCTATGATGCCATTTATACCTTTGCTTCTTCCTCCACAACTAGAGATGACATCTCTGGACTCTTATATAAGAATCTTGGTTTCTGAGCCAATCTGCCTGACTTGAGGGCCATGGCTTCCACTCTACATTGAAAGTCTCACACTGACCAATTCTCGGCCAGAGCTCCTCTGCATAATTAGGGGAAACACAGTTTACAACAATGGGCAGTGGGAAATGGGTTTTGGACTAGAGAAATTTTGGGGCTAGCACATCCCAAGGGAATACAGATGGAAAACAATGGAGGGAGCCCCACCTAGTTTATTAAATTAAGGCCAAGTGTTAAGATTGGGGATATAGCCGGGCGGTGGTGGCACATGCCTTTAATCCCAGCACTCGGGAGGCAGAGGCAGGTGGATCTCTGTTAGTTCGAGGCCAGGCTGCACCGACAGCCTCAAAAACAATACAGAGAAACCCTGTCTCGTAAAACCAAAAAAAAAAAAAAAAAAAGATTGGGGATATAGCTCAGTGGTAGAGTGTTTTCCTAGCACTCATGAGGTCCTGGGTTCAGTTCTCAGCACTGCATTAAGTGTGGTTCAGAGGCATTTGGCAATAAGTATATATCCACAGTCCAAGGACTGGGTTCAGCAGCAGAGCACAGGTCAAGCATGTACAAACCTCCCCCCTTTAAGGGTCAGGGAGATGGATCAGTGAGTAAAGGTACCTGCCACCAAGCTTGGTGACCTGAGTTTGGTCCCTGGAACCCACATTGTAGAAGGACAAACTCCTCTGACCTCTACCTGCTCACATAACACATGTGCGGTGCTTACATGCACACACACACACACACACACACACACACACACACACACACACACACACACACACACAGAGTTTTTAAATGTAATTTTTAAGAGCTCAGACTTCTGCTAAAAGTCCTCTGTTACCTGAAGTGGTCTCCTGACCTTTCTACAACACAGAATCTCCTTCATACAATAAGAATTCTTTGGGCCTAAGGAACTGGTAGGCATCTTGGGTACACCTCTGTTATTGTTGAATCCTGCAAATGCCATCTGTGTGTCCTTGGCATGTCATGAAAAGGAGGGTGGGAGGTGAACATAGTCCTGGCATAGCCTGAGTGTGGGTTACACTAACAGCGGTGGATCAGAGGAGAAAAGACATCAGGCAGGGCCTTTGTTTCCCACGAGGCCCAAGCTAGCACTGCCGAACAAAGCAAACACTGTCCACACAGGCGCCTCAATACAGACTTCTTGTCTGTATCCTTTCTCCACCTACTTCCAGAAGTAGAAAAACATCTCTTGTCTTTTATCATACTTCCTCATCCCTAGCCCCTCCCACTCCTTGTTCTTAAAGAGGCACACTGGCTCTGTGGATTTCAGGGCTTTAGACTCAGGCAGTACTCAGGACAGATATCAGGGGAGCGTCTTATGGGGCTCCTCATGTTGAAACACCAAGAAATAGCCCTTGACCTGCCTTCTACCCAGCCTCATCCCTGTGGCTCAGTAGGGGCATCCAGCTCTCTGCCAATTTCCCCACACAGCCAGCCATCTGCACTTCCTGAGTTCCTACCCATTGCCAGTGGGACCCTGCCAATGTTTGCTGTGCTTTTTGCTCGCCGTGTAGAGACAATACGTCCACTAGAAGAACACTGTAGGAAGTAGTAGGGCTGCCCAGGCTATGGCCTAGCTAGATTTGAATTGATTCAATTTAGCATTTGGACTTAAAGAAAACCATACCATTAATTGATATTATATTCCACTAGGAATAACAGAAACACCTAAAAGGGGCTTTAGAAATGAAATTTCATTTTCTATTGCATACTTGACAAGTCCAGAGACAGACCAGGGCTGATATGGCAACCTGGTCACTGCCACAGGAAGGAAGAGCAGTGGGCTGAGATCTGACCCATCAAAGAGTCATACTGGCTGTCCTAGTTTCCCTTTGTTTCTTTGATAAAACACTACTTAGAGCTTTACTCTCCTGGATCACAATCTGTCATTGAGGGATAGCAGGACAGGACTTGAAGCAGAAACCATAGAGGGGTGCTGCTTACTGGCTAGCTCTCTGGGTTCCTCATAGGCTCATGCTTAACTAGCTTTCTAAGGATGGTGCTGCCCACGGTGGGCTAGGCTCTCCTGTATCAATTAATAACCAAGACTGTAAAGAGAGGCCTTCCCGCCAGCCTGGTCCCAGAGCTGCATCAGTCCCAATTGACAGGACACTATATTAATTATGAAGCTGTTGGCCTTGCTTGTTTCTTACTGGCTAGCTCTGACATAAGTATTTACTCCATTATTGTTAATCTAAGTATTTCTCTTACCGGAGAAAAGGTCCGGACTTCTTACCCCTATTGAAGCGACATCATGGCTCCCTGTGTTTCTCCTTCCCAGAATCCTCCTCGACTCCTAGTTCCACCTCTCTTGCTTCCCTACAGGCCAACAGCACTTTATTCAACAACCAATAAGAGACAGATTT